TTAGCAGGAGAGATCTGCAATTCCTAATATGTTTTATTAGTGAAAAACAATGGGCATTATATTTTAGCAGTGGTCTTCAAAATATTAAGCATTCACTGAGTCCTCTTGTCTGCACCCTACCTTTGACTGTGCGAGGCTAATAGTTACACCTGTTCTCACAGTAGGCAGCTAAGGCCCAGAGCTTCCTTGATGAGATGTTGTCAGAGCCGTGGACCAGGTGTGCTGTGTCTCCAGGTCAGCCTGGCTCTGGCAGCTCTGCTAAAACTACATCTCCCTACTTCTTGGTTAAATACTGCATACTCCCCAAGTGGCTCCTTTGGTTTTAGGCAGAATCACATCTGAGTTCCGTGTGGCTAATTTATAGTCATAAAATGACATTAAGTTTCCCTGCTGCGTGACAACAGGCAACCCCTTCAAATATGCTTTTATAGACCCTGGAATCACTGAGGGGAGTTTTAGAATTTAATAAAGACCAGATGAGGAAGACTTGGAGTATTGAAGGTGTCAATCAACTGTGCCACCATCAAGTGCCCCTATATCCCAGGGAAGTAGAAGTATGTGGTCACTCGTTGGTATCATTCTGGAGAGCCCTGGGTGTTAGGGACAGGCAGGCTTCTGAGCTGCAGGGAAGCTCCCTGACACTTTATGCATGGGAGGCCACCTCTGTGGTTGGTTCTAAAATGATGGGCAGTAGTATCTGAATTCCTAAGTTCCAATAATTTGGCATTTCTGTTTTGCCTGAGATGTTAAGTTTGTGAGCTGGTGAGATTTGGAGAAAGGTGAGGGAGGCATTTTATAGCATTTCAAGGTTTAGAACTCTCAGCCTAAAGTTCTCTGTTATAAACAAAGGTAGGTAGATGTGCAGGTAGGTAGGAAGATACATGGACAGGTGAGTGGAGGGCAAGGGAAGGGAGGGTATAGAGAAAGCTAGCAGTTTATTTTAGGGTGGTGGGATTTTAGATGCTTTTTGTTTGTATGTCCAAGTTCATCTGTCTTTTCTAAGTTTTTTTTCCCCTAAAATTAATCTGAGTCTGAAGCAGGAAGTGGCCTGAAATAAGCCTGGGGAGATAGGGGTCGAGTCATGGGAGGGGTTAATCATCACTGTTGCCCACTGTGTGCTTTTCCTTTTCCTTCTGGGTGTATGGAGGGTTGCACCTTCTTGGGGATAGGCACAGCTGCGTGACTCTCTCTGCAGTGAAATGTGATTAGAAGTGACAAATGTCACTGTCTGGTGAAAGACTTTGAGGTTTCATGTGCAGCTCATTGTGCTCTCTTCCCATTGCTGTGGAGCCTGGTGATGTTACAGAGGATGGAGGCTCCATCCAGTGAATCTCTGGCTAACATGAGAAGCGTGGCCCTCTGACCCGGGTTGAGTGTGAAGGACAACAGTCCTGGGTTATTTCAAGGCGGAAATTTGGGGCCTGCTCCTTATTGAAGCATATCCTGATTGATACAGAAGATCTTCCTCACCATGCTGAGTATGGACCACATCTTGTTGACCATTCCAAGCTACAAAGGGGGTTTTTATGTGTTTGTTTTGCCCATCCAGAGAACAGGATCTGGCCAAAAAAGACATGAACTTTTCATGCTGCAGATTGCACATGCTCATTGTAACTCTTGTTAATGAAAGACGTGGATTTTTTGGTGGTAGAGCAATTCTATACATGGAATGTGTTCATAGCTTTGCTAAACTATACACGTGACAAAATATCTCAGAATTATGCACAAAGATAGTCCAAACAAGGGAAGGAAAAAGAATATATGCCCACCCTGGTGAAAACCTAGTAATAAGAGAGGTCTAATAAATTGTCTGTGCCAATGTCCATTTTCAAGTTTTAATTATGTACTTGCTACTGACCCTGAGAAACATAAAGGAATACAGGAATAGGTAAGATGTCACTGTTAAGGAAGCTGGATAATGGGTTCATGGATACTTGCTGTGCCAACTTGGCCTTTTCTTATGAGTCTATCATTAGTTCCAACAAGAAGTCCATGAGTTAAACCAAGACAGCGAATTGTGGCCTGTCACTAGTGGTGTTGGCAGGAAATCTCACAGTGGCAAATCGGGTCTCCTGTCATCGCCTAACAGCCAGCAGTTTGCCACTGAAAAATGGTTCTGTTTGTGGTAACTGAGCCCCTGCATTCCCATTCAGAGCATGTATCCTGGCAGACGTTTCTAGAAAGCTGCTGACTGTTGGACTGTCAGAAGAGCAGCCCCACACCACACCCACACAAACACATACACACACCCTAATCCTGAAAGCTACACTTGTCCCCCCCTGGACATGCTGTACCGCTCAGTTCCTCTGCGTTTCTCAGGGCCAGCAGCAAAAACAAGAAACCTGATGCCCAGGGCAGAAGAATTACCTGAATAATAGTGTGTGCGCCTGAACCACTGTCCCCGGGAGCCTCGTAACACACGGTGGGTGGATTAGTCTGTTGAACTACTTGGCAGCTTGTGACCCCTTGCTCCCCCTGGATGTGTAAGTTCTGATTTTGTTCGTATGGGTAGTGGCAGCTCTGTGCTTTATTTTGAAGCCAGGGGAAGGCCAAAAGACAACCTAGCCACAGGAAGTTATGTGTGAGAGGAACGTATGGCCCCTGGGTCTTGGCTTCACGTCTTTGGAATGTTGCTTTGGGGTCGCCACCTGGGAACATTCTTTCTGTACTATGGGGGCAGTAGGTACATGTGTTTTTATAATAAGTGGCCTGCATTGGCAAAGAGGGACAGTCTCTGTCACCTGCTCCACAGCATCATGAATGTGTGATACATTGACGTTTCTGTAAGATTCTGGCTCTCCTGCTCCCAGTGAAGTGAGCTGGGACCCAAGGAGGTTGGGTAAGGGGAAAAGGCCACTTTATTTGCTAAGTTTGAATGTCACATCAAGTATTTAAGTGTTTGTGAGGCACAGTAATCTCTGGAGGGGGTGACTTAGCCATTGAATGTAAAATCTTTATTCTTATTTAATTTTTAGTCATCGGTTAGATAAATGTTGGTTACTCAGAAAGAAGATTGGGTTTTGCTCTTCATCTGGAGACCCAAGCTCTCTACAGGAGTGTGACCTAATTTGGTGCCACCAGGAGTCCTGATAACCCCTTCCTTCCCTATCAGGTGGGGTTGTGGCCTCACCCTGCAAGACCCTCCAGCCCTCAGCTCTCTTACTTTGACCTTAGGAAATTCTGATTCCCCCATGTGTTGGCATTTCCTCTTTCCTCCATCACACTGATGCTTCTTTGCTTCCTTCTGAAGTCTGCACAGCTGAGCATCTGCCACCTTTGCACCAAGACCAGGAATTAGCATCCATGTGGGTCGTTCTTGCCTTCGGCACCAAGATGCTTCTGGGATTTGGGGAAATCATTCAGTCACTTTTTACCACCTTTCCCTACAACTGGGCTCAGTTAGTAAAAGTGACCTGGATCCTCCAGGATCTAACAGACAGTTGGTGGTCCGGTCCAGTGTGGTCTACGGGGAGGATCTTTGGACATCATAACATCATTTCCTCCTTTGACCCGCAGCCCACCAAACCTCTGCTGACTGCCAAGTGGCATCAGGACAAGGATTTGGCATAGCAGATGTCTTTACTCCTCCTAGTTAAATTTATTAACTATCTTCTGTCTTCCAGACAAGATCTGAGCTGATTAGCCCTTACCCTCACATCTCTGAACAGAAAATTCCTATTTGTCTTTTACCAGTGAGGAAACTGAGGCTTGGCAATGTTAAATGGCCCAAAGTTGGTGGGCTCTCCAGCTGCCCCTGCCTGATGGTGACTGTTGAAAGCTTAGGACTTGGGTTAGAGCCCAGGACTTTCGCAGCCAAGATAAACTGGCTGCAGATACACTAAACCCAGCATAGCTTTCACCCTCCCGAGTAGGACAGTCAGGGTGGGGATGTCCTCAGCAGTGCTGTTCGCATCGTTCCTTAGCATTAGAGGTAGCCGGTTATTCTCCCTAGACTTACTCAAGCATCACAGTCTAGACTGAAATTCCAAAGTTAACTGTTGGTTTCATGAGGCTCTTACCTGAACAGGCAGATGGCACTGACATTCCTGGCTTTACATCTTTGGAGGAGCTGGATCTAAGAATTAATGGTACTTAATGCCACACTCTAAAGGTCATCCTGACCTAATAGTCAAAAACTCCCCATAAATTAACAAGACAGGTCAGATGGGCAGCCCTCAGATGGAACTTCCAGAGTTATGGCCAGGAAGACTGTATCCAGTGGAAGGTGACTGAGTCAGTGCCCGACTCTCCAGTCCTGGCTTCTTGCTACAAGGGAACTTGGGTTTTCGGGTCAGACTTCTGAGTTCTGTGATCTCTTGTAAGATGCTACCCTATAAAATGGGGGACCTGTTGCCTCTAATTCAGTCATTTTGAGGATTAAATGAGATGTGTGCAAGCACCCAGCCTATGGCAGGCTCTGAGTAAACAATAGCCGTCGTCAGCATCGTTACTATTTAAAAAATGCCCCACAGCCTGTAGAGTGTTCTGTGTCACTCAGCTGGGCTTCTCTTGGGGACCTAGGTCAGTCAGAGTCCATTGGAATACAGGAGTCTTGCCTCTTTTTTGTTCTATCTATACATGAGTTATCTTTAATTTTTGGTACAGCCTTATTGGAAACATTTCCGTACCTAGAAGGTGATTTTCAAGGTTAAAATGGCATCCATGGCATCTCTGCCTGAGCCAGGCTTGGTGGTGGTGTCCCCCTCAATGTATCACTTTTTGTAATGTAGATTGGGAGGAGTTGGAGTGAGCAAAGATCCTGCTCCCAGCCTGCCTGAATGTGCAGAGGGAGGCCCAGTGCAACCCCAGCCTCACATGTTCTCTGAACTTGGCAATAAAAGCCTTGTTCTTCCATTCATTCCAGTGATTTATACTCTCTCTGGGCGTCTAATATTAAACAGGGGAATTCCGACATGTTCCATAACACATTTACTGTAACTTGATACTATGAACTAAACTTGATGTTATTTATCATTTCTTTTTATTTTCTCTCATTCCAGCACAAAGCCAAGGTAGAAGCAATGACCCTGGACCTCGCTCTGCTCCGCAGCGTGCAGCATTTTGCTGAAGCGTTCAAGGCCAAGAACGTGTGAGTGTTCCAGCGGAGGGTTATAGATCATAATTCCTGGCTATTGTAATGTCTTTATCAGATGAACACAATTGGGAGAACACCGTGGTGTTGTCTTGGTGTCCAAACAGGAGGCTCATTTATATTGGCCCTGTTGAGGTGTCCCATATTTTCTTGACTCTCAGTCACCCTCATTATGAGACGTGTCATCAATCTAATAACAGCTTCCCAGATACAAAAGGAAAAGACACTACTAAAGTACTAGTTAAGTGGCTAGTAAAAGCTGTACCGTTGTAAGATGTACCCTGGTCATAGACATCTTTTCAGCAGATAGCATCTCAGAATCAAGGAAAACAATGTTGGAATTGCATTCAGGAGCAAGTAAACTCAGTTACCCAGAACTGCAGGGTGCTGGAAATCGAGCAGCTGAGGGATATGTGTTTTGCAAGCCTTCAATGATTTGATGTGGTGCGTGCATACGGCTCCAAACACATAGCCTAAAATAAGGAGAAACTTACTCCTGTTTTTAATTTTCATTCTTTTTCCATCTTTCAAAATGCCCGAAGGAGAAAGCCCTAGTTATGGGCTCACATATTTGTGATGCCTTCACAGGCTGACTTCCATTTCCTACAGAGAGAGGGAGAGGTGAGAGAGGAGGGAGGTAAGGAAGGTGTGAGGGAGGGGGAGAGGAGAGAGACCAAGACTCAGACCCCAGGCTAAGAAAAGCAGTAGTGGCTAGGTACATTTTAATGAAAATATTTTGATTCCAAATGTTTATTTTTATGGTTGACTCATGTGTAGTGCCAACAATACAGATTTCTCATTTATTAGTGGTTCAGATTGCATTAATAAATAACTTGGTTTATTTACAGTGAGGTGATGGAAATTCGAGGATTAAGTGAATCATACTACAAATGGGGCCAAGGGTTGCACCAGCAGGGCTAGACACAGAGAGCTGCCATACATGACAACCTGGCCATAGGTTGGGCTCTGATGGGGACATTCGTTTTATAGTTCTTCTCCAAGCAGATGAAGGGTGTGAAGGAAGGGGTCAGAGACCAGGTCTGCAAATCTCAGAAGGACTGACCCTGCATGGCTGTCCATCTCTTTCTGGGTCTTGCTCCATCTTTTAGACTGTAACAAAATTTGCTCTTCACATCTCTTTTTAGAGTGAGCAAGTGGCCTGAGCCTTGGGCTCTGGGTACCATGCGGAGTTGGGGATTTTTGAGAGCATTCTCCAAGTTCTGGTCCTGCCTTCACAGGCACAGGCAGGTGACAGCCCGCAGCTGGTCAGTGGATCTGAGCAGGGGGCCTCCTGTGTAGCGCATGGCAACTGGTAGCTGCTACCCCTTGCCAGAGCGATTGGAGAAGACCAGGTATGGGGAATAGCAGTAGAGTTCCAGACAAGTGGTCATTTAGTCTTCCTCGTTCATTTATGTACTTATAAGCACCTCCAAAGCCCCAGGCATTCTCCTGGGCTCTGGGAAGAGAGCGGTGGCCACTGGAAGCCAAGTTAGCTGCAAACAAGCCATAATCTCCGTTGTCAGCAAGCAGTGTTTTATTGCTAAGGGCTGACTCCGCAATCGCACACGTCTGTGGTCATTTTGGAGGGAATAATTCTAACAAGCGCTGCAGCAGAAGTACCAGCTCATTTATTGGGGGCTTATTATGGGCCCCACACTAAGAAGGTTTTGCATGCATTTTCTGATTTGCTTTTTGAAGCCATCCTTTGGGGGCACGGTGTGACTGTCTCCGTTGTACACATGAGGAAAGGGAAGCTAGAAAGAAGGAGCAAGCCATTCAAAGGCCTGCGGTTGGTAGAGGGGCTAAGAGCCCATGTGGTCATTTGCACCCTCTTGACCACCACGTGGCACTATTTTTTTTATTTTAAATAGGATGGAAACTGAGACTCAGAGAAAATGAGTGATTCTCCCAGGGGGAACTTGGCAGCTGGGGGCAGATGCAGGATTTCAGCCTCCTGGGGCTCCCTGCTCTCCCACACCCTGCTGCTCCAGCCAGGGCTCACATTCACTGCCTCTGATCAGCTCCCTCCAGGTCCTGCGTCAGCCTGCGCTGGCACTGAGCAGCTTTTAGAAAACAGCCAACTGTTACATAATAGGATCTTCTTCCACATCTTAACGGGACCATTAGTTTTTAACCATTAAGTAGTTTGGAAATCAGCGAATTAAGTGCCTTTTGTAATCATGAAGCCCAAACTCTTCTTGGAGGGAGCTATCAACCATTTTGCTGTAATCCTAGATTTTATCAAATGACTTTGACTTTCTCCATTTGTAGGTTCAGGCACAAGGGCAGTTTTTCCTTTGGAACACACTGTAGCACTCTGTGTCTGTCTCTTGAGAGTACAGGATTGTACAAGGCTTAGAGAAATATTGTGGTGGTGAAAATATGCATACAAAAGCGAGCGATTTGCCTTCTGAAATCCTGCCAACGTGAAATCTCTCCTGGATAGGCAGATGACAGTTTCGTACTCGTAGGTCTTTAGATTCTGAGAACTGTCAGAAGTGAATTTAAGTGCTGGTGACTGGGCTGCCAGAAAAACATGTGTAGCTCTATTCTTATCATCACCTCCCATCTTTAGACATTAAAATTTCCTTGTGTGTAAAACATAATGACAAATGAAAGCAAGCCTGCCAGCTCAGAACCCAATCTCTTTTGTGCTGTTGGACTGAAGAGAGGAAAAACCCTTAAACTTAAATTCCACACGGACGCCCCCACTCGATATCCCATTTCAGAGCTGTGTGAACAAGCCGAGGCTTCCCTGGGTTGGGCCCCGGTGCCGACGCCTCTATGCCTGCTCCAGCCCAAGCGTGGACAGGCAGTGTCTCCTGCGTCTCAGGCTGAAAGAGGAAGAGATGCATGTGCAGACGTGGTGGGAAACACAGCCTACCCTGCAGCCACCCTCCCGCTGCCTTCCTGGAGACCTTGCTATGTATTTTCAGTGTGGATTTCTGTATTGGTTATGTATTGCTGAGTAACAAATCAACCCAAGTTTTATGTCTTAACATCACTATGAAATATTTGCCCCTCTCCCGCTCCCTCCATTCTTCCCTCCATCTCTCCTGGTTTGTTCACATGAGGATTCAAATGAAGTCAGGGCATTTTAATCTCTAGGTACTCAACCATTTTTTTTCAATAATGTTTAAATGCAATTATAACTACACCCTGTGGTGTCACGTAACATGTCCACTCCTCTCCTTGGTTTCCTGTGGAAGGTAGTTAGTGCACTAGGAGCCAATGAGCTTCATGTTTACATTTTGGTGGGGCCGCTTCATGGGCTGGGCTGTGTCGCGCCTGGGGGACATGTGTTTCCTCGAGTCCCAGCATGACTTTTCTCCTCCTCCTCCGTCCCCCTGCTTGCTCTGCCCACTTCTTCTCATGCAGTTATTTTGTTCTTCTCCTCTCCTTCTGGGTGGTCAGCCCAGGAGCCTCAGCCTCCTCCTAGACAGCTCTCCCCAGAGTCAGTGGTGGTGGTGGTCAGCCAGTGTGTCTCAGGTCCAATTATTTTGGGCATTACTGGAAAGTTCCACCCCACAGCTTGTGGTAAGTCCCCACAGAACTGAGTTTTGAAGGATGTTTTTGTTTAAACAGTGATTCTGGAGCGGAGCCAGACTCTACCCTGCCTGGCTGGCAGAGGCATCTTTCAGAGCATGAAGAGCTGGTACCCTTTCTAGTCGCTCAGGCCGATTATCAGGATATTCTGCCGCAGGCTGGGAAACAGTAGCAGGCTTCTCGGGGTGCTTTTGTGTGGTTCCTCTTTAGTTGTAGCTCCTTCATTTACTGGAAAGTTCACATTTTGAATAAGCCCTTGTGGAGTTCAACAGCTTTGAGAATTGGTGTTCCATAAATAGTTCTTAAAAAATGTGTTGTACTTTGAGTTCCACAGATCTGCCCTCAAGTGGACACCTGGATCCAATTCTTGTACTTTTAACAATTGGGGATGGCAAATACTATGGGGTGTTCATTCTTGAGTCCCTATTGTCAGCACTTTTATTATTGATCAAGGGTTTTGATTTAAATTAATTGGCATTGAGAGGAGCTGGGTGTTAAAATAAGTGTGCTACTCTGAAGGTTTCTTGAACTTCATTTTTGATTCTCAGTTTATTTCTCTTCTTAACTTTCTGTCTCTAGTATCATTCAAAGAAATCAGGTTTCCTTTCAATTAGGAGATCATATAGAATACTGTTTTTAAAAAAGGTTAAGGTTTTTCTCTCCTGACTCTTTAAGCGTTTGAGGAGAAAAATATTTAACAAAGTTGTTTATTTTCACTTTCTACTAAATTACTTTCACAACTTGAACATAGTAATCCCAGATACAGTATTCTTGGATGCATATTCTCAAATTTTCTGTCTCCTATCCATTTATAGAAGTGGGTGAACTATAAATCAATTCCAAATTTTGAGGGATAAATTACTCTGAAGACCAATGTGTGAATTACACATTAATCTTTCTTTTTCTCCCTTGCTCAATTTTAAGAATAATGTTTTAGCCAACAAATCTGCATCATTCTTTGCTCAATATGAGAGATCTGTTTTGGTTTGCCTAACAGGGGATCATGTTGCTTTGCTGTTCTGCACAGTATGAAACAGAATGAAAAGAAAACAAAGTCAGATTTCAACTGTAATGAATGCTCGAAATCTAGATCTTCATTATGATTTTTTTTTTTTAAAGAAATGTTGAAGTCTGAAAGCTAAGTTTTCCTCCATCCGATACATTTTCCATGTTAAGGCACTGAAAAGTAAATCACATTGTGAGATCTTTAGGGTATCAGGAGACATCAGGGGGAATACTTTCTCATAAGCAAATGTTTTGCCTTTTTGATATTTAATTCTTTAGGTACTAAATCTTATATGTAATTCTTTAGAAAATATTTCTAAATTATATCATACATTCTCACCCTTAATTAAACAAAATACTAACTTGACGCAGTGCAGTGTGGAGCTGGGGGCTCAGTAAACTTCTGTAAAGAGCCAGAGAGTAAGTATTTTAGAAGTTTCAGGCCA